GGGTGGTGGAGGTTGAGAGCCAAAGCCGAACACTTCTCAGGTCGGGCCTTGTTCTTAATATCTGTTATATTGCCCTCGGCATGAAATCACTAATAACTTACACAACACAGTGGAGAGATAAGTATGTCGATAAATGCCTCTCTTTCTCTCCCATTATATATCTAGATGACATCCAATACGCCCCATCTCCCATATCTTACTCAACATTGCATACATGTAGATACAGAACATACATGGAAAATGTACTCCTCTCTTTCTTCTCTCTCCCTGCTACGTGATCGCATGCCGTACCTTCAGGGGCAGGCTGATTTATGAGACACATGCCTGTTTTTTCATGACTTGTTTGATTGCATTCTCAGCTATCGGGCACTTTGGTTGCCAAAACCATAAAAATGCACACCTGCAAAGGTTTGCTGCAGAGTCAGATGAAGCGCAGGCAGAGCATGAGGAAACAGGTGATCCGAGGTATTTTGCTTCCCCTTGATCAGAACATCTTAAAATCAACATAGGTGATTGATTGATTGATGTTCCGTTTCATTTAACTTTGAACCGGGTTTATTTGTTCTGGTAGAGTAATGCATAAGGCATGGCACATATTTCCTCCACGATTCTTAATGAGCTGTAACAATGTTGCTTTTGTTAAATCTTGGTGACACTTCTTTATCTTTTCTGATCTATTTTCTATCTGTCTTGATGTCATTATAAACCAACATATAATGTGTTACTATCTGCTCATAGCACTCAAAGTTATACATTCTTGTAAATAGTCATAATGCTTAAAACCAATATTCATATGCAAAGATCATGGTGTCTTATTATTCTTTGCATTATATTTTGTAATGCATTTTAATCACTGTCATATTGCATTGTATTTTGACTCTTAAGTAGTCATTGCTTGCTTTAAAAAAAGTGAAATATATTCATGCTAGAACATTACACATTGCATTGTTAAATTAATGTTTAATTTATTGGTAAATGTAACCCATGATACATCGTTTTGTTCCTGAATATGTTAACTTCTCCTTTTTATTTGCGAAAGACAAGATACAAAATATCCCATAAATACGGTAATCTTTCAGGCGAAAGGTTTAGCTTTGAGTTCAACTTTAGTTTTTAAATACCATATATAAGTTGTATTCTTTACACAATTGCAATATAAACAGATTTTATAAGGTGGATTTTATTTTGACCTCAACGAAAAATCTCAACGTAGGATTGTTTAAGGGCACAATAAAAAATGTATTAAAAAAAAAATCAAAAGGACACATTTGATATATTTCCATCAGCGTAGCATGACCCCACCCTTATCCTAAAATGAGTGGAGCATCCCGAGCTGTCTAGCCACACATGGTTACAAATGACCTCCTGTAGCATAATGCAATAAGCGTTGTCTCTTATCTGCGTTCTCTGGGTTCTTTTTCACTTGGCCTGACACAATTGTGCATTTATCAGTGTAATTGCAAGAGTTGGAAGCACTGATGTTGTCTATTAGGCGGATTTCCATCCTGTTAAGAGCAGAGGGCCTTTTAATGTATGGCCCTGCTTGAGTGAACTGCTACACAATTACACGGCGGCCAGAGATTGAGTGTGCTGATGATGCTGATGCCTGCGATGGTGGTGATGGCACTGATGATATCGGACCACCCTGCACTCTTCTAACAAGCCTTTCAGAGAGAGAGAGTAAGAGTGAAACAACAAAGTGAAACCGAGGTTAATCATTTTATTTACTCGTTTTTCTATCCCTCTCTCTTTCCCTCCTCCTCCCTCTTCCTCTCCTTTTCCTTTCTGTAACCGAGTGATGGTGCTCGGACTGTGGAGCAGGGGCGGTAAAAATCGATGGCGAGCGCATTACAGTAAAACGTATTGATTAGGAGACCTGCGAGCAGTGTGTTGGTCGCGGAGATGGTGGAATGATGCAATGCTTAAAGGAATTTATCCTTTGACTTTTACATTAACCTTTTATTGACTGCTTTGCCTGTCCATAATTAACACTCACTTTAGCTAAAGTGGTTAGTATGAGCGCAAAGGGGGCTCCGGCCCTTATTGCAGCGAGGGGCCGTCTGAGCTCGCGCCCCAGCCGCAGTTCAAGTGCACTGCATGGAGGGAGAGGCCTCTGTGGAATAGAGGCGATAGAATCCTAGATACCTTTCACATTAGCATACCATTTGAGCGGGGGCCTGCCAGGCTATAAGGTTTCAGGGCAAATTGAAATGAGTGATTGTGTTGCCAATCTCTCTTGACCGAGCGCCAGATGGGATAGTTAGGCCCATATCTGTCTGGGGTTAATCCATTGGAACAGCCTGGACTCACAAACACATTCGCTCCGCCCACAACAAACCTCTTTGTCTTTGACCTTAACTTTAAGGTGGGCTGTTGTGCCATGGGAAAGTCTTTTGGTGAGCCTTGTTTGTACGCCACTGTGGCTTACACTGAATTTCTAGCAGCAGCCCTGGAGAGCTTAAGGCACCTCGCTTGATATTGACTTTTTGTTTGGTTCCATTTTAGCAGTCGAGGGACGCTGCTCAGCGAACAGTGGTAAATTGTGTAAAAGTGTGCGCTGAATTACCTACACTATATTATCTTTGATAGTCTCCCAGTCTTGATATCTTTTTATATCTCCCGGTAACCCAGGAGCCTTCGATTTGCAAGCTAATGTGCAAGATCCCCTGTCAAATAAATGCGCCAGCTCTGTTGGTCGGGTTTTTGCCGTATGTAGCCTTTCAGAAGAGTCAGGGCAACAGAAGAGAGGCGAGTGTTTTCTCTCATAGCTCAACGGCATGAATACTTAATCCGACCAAATCAAAGGCCTGGGTTCCCTTGGCCTGTGGTGTCCTCAAGCTGATGTCAGCAGAACCACACAGTGTGTGAGTGTGTGCTGTCTGGGTCAGTTTGCTCTCTCTCTCTCTCTCTCTCTCTCTCTCTTAGACACTCTATAGATATGTATGCCAGCCATGTCCTCCTCCTCCTCCTCCTCTTTCTCTGAAGTGGCGCTTCCTTTAATTCGCACCCTAAATAAATGATGAGAACATTTAAACACACGGCTCGTCGCAAAGCCCCAAGGTCGCCTAATCGTATTATTTATGAAGTGATGTGCTACATAATGGTACTTAGTGCATGTTAACAGATGCTATTATCAGGCCCTGATCCAGAGCGCAGAAGATATATTGGAACAGTGGATGTTAATGCTGCTCCTCACCACCGTAATGCAGCAGCTCTTTAAAGGGCTAACCGCACCAAAATGCAGCACTTAGGCCGAGAGCCAGTCGAACATTAAGTGGCTCCGGTGAAAATATATAACCACAAATTGTGGCTGCCCCCGGCTGTCCCCTGACAACTTTAACATCCCCTCAGCTCATCCATAACCGGGACCCTCATACCCTTCTCTTCAGCTCCCTGTGTCCTCTTCATCGCCTTCTGTAGTCGCTGGCCACAAGGTGGTGGTGGTCGTGTGCCTGTGTGTATCTGGGGGTTGATTGAGGGTTTTTTAGGGTGTGGGTAAGGTAAACGGATATGATAGGACAGACCCTGTAAAATGACTGATTGGGGAGTATAACTGGCCTTGTGGCTCTAGAAGGAAATGTTCGGCTACCACTCACAAGCACACACACACATTACACACACAAAGCACAAATGCCATCCTCCTCCTCTCCCTCTTGCACCTCCAGGTCAGGGGTCACTCCCATCTGTCAAGAGGCAGAGGGAGGGCAGATTTACAATGACAGCGGAGAGCAACACCAAGTCACCGCAGTAAATATTTACACTGGTCTGACAAAAGATGTGGCGAAGGTCTGTGGGGGTTCCAAACAGTGTAGAAATTACATCTAACCTCAGATTATTAATCATTATGAAAATCACGCAGCGACATGAAAAGGCTTTATTTCTCACGGCTCTGTCATGATTGCAACAGCACAGAGTGATGTTCTTGTGAAAGCATCCTGCTGTGTGTGCCTGATGAATGGGGCATTAATCATGATACATGATATCACGGTTCCTCATCAGCTTGAAACTGTTGCTGCCATTTATGGCTCTTGAAACGCATTCCTGACGCATCACTTTCTCCCTGTCTCTCAGCTCCATTTAGCTCACTGCTTGGAATGTTTTGAAGGGAAAAGAAGGAAGTTCAAGGTGCACAAGATCAAACATGTAAATATCATTAACAATATAAGGGAAAGACAATGACATGTCAAGCATTTCGATGCAATATAAAATATATTCCACTTTCCTTTGTACACACAAACACACTTACCCTCTCATATCCTGGAGGTCCTTATTGAGCCCACTGTTATAAGGTGTCATAAAAAGGAGAGGAAACACACAAGCCGACTGCCTTCTGGACATACACACATTTACACACACACACACACACACACACACACACACACACACACACACACACACACACACACTTACACACAGACACTTACACATACACACATCAATGACTTTACTACTTGACATTTCTGGGGCTGACCCCTTTAAAACTCCCATCAGTCAATACAGATAGACTCGTAAGAAATATTTCTGTTTATCTTCACCCAGTACAATCCCTTTTTTTCTTTCTTGTCAACTATCACTTATTCCTAAGCATTCGAGGTTAAACACAGGATTTTATTTAAAGTTACAAGTTATAGAAGGCCTTTGTAAGAACGAGAACGCGCACTACATTCTGCTTTCTATAAATAATAACAAAACATAAAACTATAGCAGTCCATAAGCAAAACAAAACGTCACAAAAACTATATAATTATAATTCATTTGAGTTAACCTAAAATAATATGCAATTGGCTCACCAAGCCATAAATAATTACCATAAAAAAATATGCCTAAATGGCTCCTACATGAGTGTTCCCCCAATATTTCTAAGAAAAAAATCGTAAAAGAACTGCGGTTGAAAGTGAGCGAGCTGAGCCGGGTGCCCTTCTGATGAGTGTCTCCCAGTTGGTTTTGACGGGAGGGAGGGTTTAATGGGTGCGCTTGTTTCCTGTGTCCTGTCGCCTCAGGTGCCACTCCAGTCTGGCCCAGACGTTACCCCCCGAGGAGGCCCCGGTGGACCGGCCCTTCTGGGGTGTGGATGACCCCAGCATGCCGCTGCCCTTTGATCTGGCTGACATCATCAACAGAGTGGAGTCGCTGCTCTGGAGGTGGGCCCGACATGTTGAAGTGTGGAAATGTGCTTATGTACGCATTGTAAACATGCATAGCTCATAAAGCATGCATTCATTCACAGGTGGCAACTTGTTTATTCTTTACTCACTCTGAATGTCATGGTTGTTTTTTTTTCATTCCTACATATATTCACTCAAAAAGTTTGTTACTAGTGTGACTATTTATAGACCAATGCATCAATCAGAAAATTGTATAATAACTAATACATAGTGCTGATTGAATGCTGATTTGAGCATGTTAGGATGTGCATGCATAGCAACATATGCGAAACAAATGGCCCAAAGTAAGAGTGAACTAAAACTGCTTTCTACAAAAGGAAAAGGACAAATATTTGAATTACTGTGAAGGACAGCCACTTTTAAAGCTTTGGGAGCTGCACCAAGTCTCTGAAAAAGTGTGACGTAGAGAGACACACAACACACACATTTGCGGTCACACCTACTTACATACATTTACACTCTATCAATCCGCTCAACAACTTGTCCCAGACTCCTGTGGTAGAGGTATAGTAATTGAATAGTGTTGGTATTTGGTCGTGGCCAATACAATGTCTGTCTTTCTCATGTTAAGCACACCAAGTTTGTTTTTGTAGCACATTTCAACACAAGGCTATTCAAAGAAAACTAACATCAAATATTAAGATTTATTGTTAAATTATAATACGGTTTATGTCCTGGGCCCCTTTAGGCCTGCATTAAGTCAATTCCAACACTTGTTGTCACATAGCAAGCCTTTGATTGGACAGCATAAAAACCCAAAAAGCTTTACACTATATGCTTACAATTACATCCAAAAGTTAGGAGGCCTCATGTCCAGTCATGACGTTTTTTTTAAATGACAAAAATATATATAATCATCGTCTCTTTTTTGGTCTTTCCAACAGGATGTGAGGGATGAATAGATGTGAGAAAGTAAAGGAAAACGAGAAAAAAACACCAGCTGTTTTGGAACGGGCCCAACAACAACTGAAGGGAGATACCACTGAAGACACCTCTGTTGTGATTCCACCAAGATTCATTTCCTTTTCATGGGTTCATCCACATCCCCCCACTCCACCCTCGACTGCCCTAGTTGACGTCGACATCTTTAGTCAACCCTGAGCTTTGTGATGGCTGGAACGAATCCAGACCACCTCAATAGAACCAGAATAGTGCTTCAGTATCATGCTAACATGCTAACCAAGCTTAGCGACAACCTCCTAGAATCACAGCGGTCTAACGAAACATAAGCGAACCTGCATTTCAGCGTTAGCATACATTGCTTAACTATTTATTATTTCAGTGTATTCTCTTAATTAATCTCATGTAACCCAGACCTGCTTTTATCAATAGATCGACTAATTCTCAGCTTTAACCGTACAGTACACACATATATGCTTTCTACTTGTCACACAGTGTTATAATACAGTCTAGAATGGATTAAAAAAAAACTGACACGGTATATCATTCTCCACGTGTGTATAGTGTAATCCTTTTTATTGTGTTCGGAAATGGAAAGAGCCAGAAGAGACCAAAGAAAGATTATTTTAAGAAAGTTATGAATGTCATCGCATAGAGAAAATTAAGAATGTGATGTGTAGTGTTTACAGTGCGATTGTGTGTTCGTACCATATGGAGGCGTGGCAGTGTCTATGTGTGTGTTTGTATGTGCGCATTTAGCCGTTTGAATAGTAGTTGGCCTGTGTGTTTGTGCACGCTCACTCTCTCCCACATGTCTACATGAAGGCGAGTGTGTGTGAATGTGATAGTGTGTGTGAGCCTGTAGGCAGCCTGCCAGTTGTTTGTTCTTGAAGATATTCATATGGAGAAACAGAGACTAGCAGCGGGGCCCCTGTGCCTCTGCTCTGATGAAAGGCAGCACTGATAGAATGACCCGGAACACAACCGCCGTTTCTCATAATTACAGCTGTTCAATCGCTTTTAATTACTCTTAAAGTGTGTAGAGCACCACGTTCCCCTGTAATGCTGCAGGCCATCCGAGAGAGCGGGAGAAAGATCCGGCACTTCTGACAAAATCCACTTTCAAAACAGCTAAAAAGGGTGGAAAGGGGGCCGACGTCAAAGCAGTGTAGCAGCCCTCCTCGTTTGATTCCTTTCTCTATCTAGTTCATGATGAAGTAGAGACGCTGTTTACTATTAAAAATGCAGAATGCACTCCTTTTTTTTACTTCTGAAGTTGTTTCCAAGATGTTAATGGTTGCCAAACGCTGTTCTTCTTGCTTCTTCTTTTGCAGCGGCTCTTGTTTGTTGTTGTCAGAGAGATTTGTTTGTAGATCGGCAGTAGCGTTGACTTGTTTGAATCACTCTGTGCTCCCCGCGCCACAGCTTGTCTGTCTGAAGCAATAGGAATGGCAGTAAATAAAAAAACTGTGTTTTATCCAAACACCTGCGTCCTTCTGTTCTTTCTGTGCTACTGTCCATTATTTATTTTTTCGCTCCAGGTGGATAACACACTTATGACAGGTAAAAAAGGATTATTTATATTGTGTTTGTTTGTTTTATTTTGGTTTTGATTGGTTTTATTTATCTGAATATTTTTGGACTCATACTTAGTCGAGCCATGCAACCATGTGTCTAATGTTTCTTCCTCTCAAGATAAGTTATTGTTCTCTGAAGTAGCCTCTCCCTAAATGCCTTCTTCCTCAAGATAAAGAGGACAGCAGTGGACAAAGATCCCTTTTCAGTGGTGTAACTCACAGGCAGCTAAATTAGCTCAAGTATATCCACAGCAGACCAAGGTCAAACACTGTTTACGTGCACAGTAGGCCTATAAATAATTTCTAATATTTGAATGAATTTGCTGTGAGTGCCCGAAGGGTCAGGTTTATTGTATGAGGACAATTTACAGTTCCAGTGTCACACACAGGAATGTGTCCAGAACTTATATACACATAAAAACATCCCTGTTAATTTCCCAGGGGGCAAACAATGATTGGTTTTCCAAGGAGGTTAAACATAAGCAAATAAATGTGAGAAAAGCGTATTTGACTATCACTAACCTTGCGCTGCTTTCGTTTAACATCCTGTCACATCTCCACAAGTTCCATGGCAGACCTTCCATTGCTTACTAATAGAAACAACTTCCATCCAATCGAAATCTAGTTTGAATGCAACCATCTTAAACCATACAACTATGCAATTTAGACCAAACATGGTAATCATCAACAGTGCTGCATCATTCAAGGATTTGTCTTGAATTAGTTGGGTCAGTTTATGTTTGTGTTTAGTTTGTAATTTTAGCCATTTAGCTGCATGACACCAGGGCGTAAGTGTTTCTCTGTCACTCTATCCCTTTGGTCAAAACATTTTTATTGAAAGTCATGGTCGCCAGAGGATAAACCATGATTTTGCTGAATCTCTGGCTAGATTAAAATGTTTTGGTTAAGTGAAGTTCCTCAACAACCATAGGAAAGATTTTTCAAAGTATTTGGTACACACAATCATGTCCCTCACAGAATGCATTGGAATAACTTGGTGATCCCTTTTCCTCTGGCGCTATTTAAACAACATTTTAATTTGGGTGCTACTTAGAAAATGTTGCCATGCTAACACGGCAAATTTAACATGGTGAACATTAAACCTGCTCAGCATCAGCGATGGTGGCACTGTTGTAAGTATGTTAGCATGCTGATGCTAGCATTTAAGTATCAAGTATAGCTGCTAGCATGGCTGTAGACTATGTGTCTGTTTATTACATTTGCTATGTGCATCTGCTATACTCAACAAGGAAGTATTTGCATCAGGTTTGTTTGTTTTTTCTCCAGCCTTCTGTGTTCTCTCTACTTCAGAGGAGCCCGTTGAGCAGAGCAAACAACTTCTATGACAGATTGATTGATGGATTGATTGATTGAGGGATGTCAGTCCCAGTGATGAAGTGATGGCTAATGTTCTGTGTGTGTTTCCAAAACCTCCACTCTACACCAATACCAACAGTGGACTGCCATCCCGAGGTCGCCCATGTTAACCACTTCCTGTAGTGGCTGATTGACTGAGTGATGGATGAGTTTGGAGCGCTCTCCCTTCGGGGGCCTGGACTAGAAAAAGGGCCCCACTTGAAGAGACAATTACACAGTGCTGGTGAGAGCCACAGGTATGCATTGTTCTGACTGGGGTCAGCCACCAGCCAACCAGCCAAGCCACCCTCAATTAGGCCAACAATAGGTGTAGGCAGAGATAAAATAACCAGGTGTGTGGTGGGGAAAGGTATCGGTTCGGGGTCATTTCCCAGTCAAATGTTTCAGTGGGTGGCTATGGGGCCTGGATTGATTGTAGTATTAATGGAATCAGGAAATGGATCTCAATTGTCTCTATTTCCAATTTGTAAAGTAGGGTGAAGGAATGAAACAGATTTATTATGTTATGTTGGGTGGATAATGGCTATCAATGTCAGTGAAGGACACTTTATGTAAAGAATGAAGGAAATCTGACCTTAATCGTAATGTCATAATATATAATGTTATATAAGATTGCATAGACTTTGCACAAGTATAAGATTGCATAAATTGTACTTGATATTTGTTGATGCATACTTTTGTGTTTTTCTACAATGCAGCATTTGTGTTGTGTTTGTATGAGAAGGAATACATGTGTAAAGGTCTCCGAGCCTGTTTTTACAAAGGAATATATGTGTGTAATGTGTCTCAGTGTGAGTGTGTGTCTGTCCCAGGTTCCAGAGTGCAGGCTAGTGTTGGAGGCCCCGGGGCCAGAGAGGTAATAGTAATTGTAGAAGCCGGCTGCAGAGCTGAAGATAGCATCGCAGCTCTGGGGCGGCTGTCAGCAGTGGGACGGGCCACACTCATTTGTCACCAACACAGACAAACAGCACTCAGCACCTCCAAAACACTGACTTGATTGACTACATGTGAAGCAACACCAGCCCTAATGTTTTGCAACTGTTAATTGCACTAGAGGTCATAAAAAAGACAGACCCCAGGAGGTTCCCTTCAGTTAAAATAAGGCAAGATTTACAGTGACACTTAAGGTCACACTGACAGGCATTTGTCTTTAATTCCTGCTGTCTGACTTACATATATGCAAATCTGTATTTTAAGTATGTTTGTTAAATACTACCTCGTTTGGTGTGTCTTCCATGTTAGATTTGAATGAATGCATTACCATAAAATGTGTGTATTAAATGGATTGTAATTCATAAATATCAAGCTACAATAACAGTGTGTTATCTCAATATATCTAATACATTATTAAATGAGATTTTCCAATATAATTTAAAGTATGTAACTCCAAAGCAAAATTTGTTTCGATATCAATAATCGGTGTAATAAAAATATTCGTTCTTACTCAGTCCTTGGTCACACTTAACCAAGGGTCACCAGAGCAATTTTAGGGTCAATGGAGGCTATTCTAGATAGATATCTAAACTACAAACCAATCAATCATAAAAAAATGTATAGTGCAATATGACACATTTCACCTGGAGGGCTTTGCAATCTGTCCAGCATACAACACCCTCTGTCATTTAACCCTGGCAGCACACAACAGAAAACATGGCACTAAATAAACCCAATTAAAGGGGGAAATGTGAGAGCTACTGAGTCCATATGAAGCGCCTCTTCTTACAACCCAACTGTCCTCTCTGTCAGCGGCCTGATCACTGCTGACATGCTCACTGCCTGCAGTTTACGGAGTATTAGAGTGGAAGTGAAGCGATGGTGAAGTGTGGATGTTGATGTTGATGCTGTCAGGACGCCTGGCAGCTGAGCGGCCCTGATGAGTAGAGGGGATGGCATGGTGAGTGTGTGTCTTTATGAATAGTGCAGGGGGGGGGTCTTGCAGATCAAACAGCAGTCTGATCAAATGTAGAGCATGTTTTTGGGTCTTCGCTGTGGCCCTGGCTCCAGTGACCAGTGGCCCCGATATCATCCGTCCTGCAGGACCTGGCTCTTTTATCTATTTCTCTCTCATTTTCA